ATTTTATGAGCCCAGGTCTTCAATGTTTTTGAAGAAGACCTGATGCATTGGTTTCCCCAGAAGTGAAGTGATCTCAGAGGATTTTATGTGGGTCTATTACTGAACGGGTTCCAACTCGGTGACAGAGTTGTGATCACCTCGTTCAGTATCGAAAACCAAACCGAGTTCACTAGCTACACAAGAAGCTGCTCTGAAGAGAGATGCTTCAATTCTTACTTTCTCATGGTACCGGACAATGCAGAGAATGGGATCCAAACTCCTTCAGGCTCCATCCAGTACCATTCTGTTATGCAGACACTTCAAATTCAAAAGACCACGGCCTCACTATTGTCGGGAGAAGTAAAACCGTGGAACTGACGATTTGGTATGCAAACTCAAATGAAGCTGTATCATTTTTCGGGTCTTTAAGTCGAGTTGATACAACTCCTCCTGAGTCCATTTCCCTTCTCCAAACGAGTAGAGTAAGATTGGAACGGCAAGCATATTTGTTGTTCCCCGTTCTTCCCCGACAGTTACGATGACCAAGTTTGTCAACGTTCGTGCTAATATTTGTCTCGGAGAGCGCATCGTCCTCTTTTGGGATGGATCATTGCACATTTGTCTATCCCGAATTTCATACCGATAGCATGCGTGTATTCTTCCACCACCCTTAAGGATTGATGGTGATCCATTTTTCCAGAGGCATAAAGTTTAAGGTCATCCATATAAAACAAATGGTGATCTCGTTCCACCAGTTTCCAAGAGTGCCATAGTTATACCCTGAAATAACGGATAATGGCAATAGTGAGATGCAGAATAGAAGGGGACTTCCAGTTCATCTGGGCCTGGAGCAGTAAAGTTCTTGGAACCAACAAGGACTCTTCGAATGCCATCCGGGGTTATCGAGTTGCGCAGTTCATTGAGATCAGGCTGTTGGAGCTCTCTGCTGAAAGCTTCGCACTGTACTAGGGCTTGAGTGTCTGAGTTGAGTGGCTGCGGGTGTTCATAGATGTCCTTCTAGAAGGATTCCACCTGATAAGCGGTCGGCGGATTATTCACAACACGTGGAGGCTCTCGATATAAGCGGAACTCAAGGTTTTCCGCAATACTTCCCGCTTGCTTCACTAGTGACCTCTTGGCGGCCACTAGTATTCGTGTCCTATCAAGGCAGTGCTGTTTGGTGGTCAGCAGCATGCCTATACTCAAAGTGTGATGGATACGTAGTAGTTTGGCGCCTATTCGCCGCGCTGCGGTCGTGAAAGACCTTTTGGCTGCCCTGTAATCCATCACACACTGGAAACGAGACGCGTGTTGTCTCGCCGACGTGATCTTTACCTCCATCTTGTGAACCCGCCGTTCAGTCTTTTGAACCGCATTCTTATCAACCTCGATAGGCATGGTTGTGTTAGGACAGGCTTTTCCCAACAGGGTTGGTCTACAAGGGTGGTTATTATTGCACAACATTTCTATAAATGAACGCGAAGTTTCATGTTGAAAGAAAATTGATATGAATACTACCAGTCATGAAATATTCATCCATTTTATGCTCGAATTCCGATGTTATTATCAAAAATGTTTTTTTTTCTATAATAATTGGTCTTTCACGGCCCATCCCATTCGAACACATTCCAATATAGATTAGCTAGTGATTTGCAATCAATTACAGATTATCCACGCATTAGTGGAATTGAAGTGCACTTTCCATTTTCCAAATGAATTGCATAATATCATAAAGGGTTAGTGTAAACACATCGCGTGTTTATTGCATACATGATGTGGGAAGAGATAAGGGTCTTGAATATTACTCGAGGTCAGATTAGGGTAGTACATTGTGTGCTTGTGGGGTTAATATTTCCACGTTGTGTATCTCATGCTCGCCAATGATACACATTTCATTTGGACTTTTCCTGCAGTCGAGTCGATATTTCATTAGGAACTGCCTGCAATTAAACATTCCATAAATGTGATTTTCTTTCGGAGACGAAATATTTATTTAGTTAATTTTTCGATTTCCCAGGTCCGTTTTCTAAAAATATTTCATTCAATTCAAACGTTATTGAATGTAACCAATCTTCATTGATACAGCTGGTTAACGGAAAAACAGATTTTTTTAAACATTACACAAGATATTCATTTTTCATTACATTTTTTTAGAGTATTTAATTGAAATGGTTTCAAAATGTGATGCTCAAAATTATTATTTAGCGTACACGATTTATTATTAAAAATAGAATGGCTGATATTCACAAGCTATCAGCTGAACGATATCGCCTAGCTGCTGAGTACCTTGGATTTACTTTACCTAAAATTCCCTCACATTACAAATTTCATGTAGTTGTTAATGTTTTCGGAATTGAGACTATATCATGTTGATAAAATTGAAAATCATTCATACATTTGATAACATATAGGCAGCCTAGAGTGTGCATTTACTCTATTAGAAGCTAATCATCGATTGTTATCAAGAATTTATCTTGTGAAAGAGAAGTTTTGAATTATTTTACCGAACTTCGAATAAAATTGCTTAAGCAGGTGGTATATTTTAAATGAAAACTAATTTTTCAAGAGATATTAATCATCATTTGACAACTATATACTTTTGGCAGCCCTACACATTTTCCTAATATTTTCTATAGAGTTCGCATCAGAACAGATATTTCATCTCTCAAATAAGCCCGAATGAATATGAAATAATGAATGATTTGATTTTCATTCAACCAACACGACGACAAACGCTTTACCCACCTTTCAAATGATTCAGTTTGCATATTATATACTTCCATACTCTGAAAAGTGTTTATATGAATATTACTTACCACTCTGTGTGGCAATTCTACTGTGAGAAATATATACAAGAATATAACAAAAGGTTCCGTCTAACGTAAATCCACTAATAAAGTGAATATTATCAATTCATCAATATACTTGTAGTAAAAATTGTACACTTATGAACAATCCCAGAGCATCTGTGTTATTTCACGATTGTCACTACAGAACATCAACATTATTTTCCATCTAGGTTCGCAATTGGAAGGTGCGTGAGTTGCAATAGATTCAAATATCTGTAGAAAAAAGAAGTAGAGACTGGCTTTTATACTTCATCTTAGAGAAATGATTCATGTCTTTTCATTAGTTTTCAGCTTGAATCATTTTCGAGGCGCGTTTTGCCTTGTATTGAAAGATAATATCGAGTTTACAATATGTCAGTACGTTGAGTTGTCATGAGTAGCAATTTTGAACAATTATTAAAATCAAAACTCAGAATACTAAACTACTTTACAATTATTCACTATTCAATGATGTTGACAACTTCGGTACTTATTTCGAACCACTTCCTGAACTAATCTCTCGATTATTCTGTCCTATGCCTGCATATTTGCGGAACGAACTTTCTTGCGAATTTGCCATACCTTTTTCGTGATCCTCAATAGTCTTTGTTCTTTTCAGCTTTTCCGTTCCATTCCATCCCTTGTCGTTCCACCTCGTCCCATACCGTATCCGGACTACATCGACCAGTACCTTTCCTGCAATCCTATTCCATTCCTAAAGCAACCCTTCCCACTTCGTTTCTTTCAGTTCCGTATCTTCTCATTCCACGTCCTGTCTCATTCCTTTCCGTCCCATTCCATCCCGCCCTGTCCCGTCCCGCCTCTTCGTGTTTCAATCCATTCCGATCCTTTCCATCCCGTCCCGTGCCGTCCCTTTCTGTCACGTAGCGTTCCTTCCTGTTTCGTCCCATTCCGTTCCTTTTTGCCTAGTCCCGTTCCATCCGATTTGATCACGTCCCGTTCTGTCTCATTCCATTCCGTCTCATCTCGTACCGTCTCATCCTGTTCCACCCCGTTCATCCTGTCCTGTTACGTATCAACACGTCCAGTTCCATCCCGTCCGGTCACATCCTGTCCCGTTTCGTTCCATCTGGTCTCCTCTCTTTCCATCCCGTCCAGTTACGTCCCGTCTCCCCCCTCTCCACCCCGATCGCTTACGTCATGTCCTGTTACGTTCCCTTCGTTTACATCCCGTTCCGTCGCATCCTGTCCCGTTTCGTCCCTTTCCAACACGTCCATTCACGTACTGCTCCGTATCGCCACGTCTTGCCCCATCCCGTCCTGTCTTGTAACCTTCCGTCCCGTCTCTTTCCATCTCGTCCCGTTTCATCACGTCCAGTTACATCCTGTTCCGTTCCATCACGTTCGGGTACATCCCGTCTCGTCTCTTTCCATGCCATTCGGTTACATCCCGTGTCCTCCCTCTTCATATCGACCGGTCGCTTTCCGTGCCGTCCCGTTCCTTTATTTCCGTTCCATCTCGACCCATCCCGTCCCTTCCCGTCCGGTTACGTCCCGCCCGGTTACTTCCCGTCCCAATTCATCACGTCTGGTCCTGTCTTGCCCCATCCTATCCCGTCTTGTCTCCTTCCGTCCCGTATTGTCCCCTTTCGTCCCGTCTCCTTCCATCTTGTCCCGTTCTATCACGTTCGGTTACATCCCGTCCCGTCTCTTTCCATCCCATCTCCTCCCTTTCCATCCCGTTCGGTTACGTCTCGTCTCCTCTCTCTCCATCTCGTCCGGTTACGTCCCGTGCCGTCCCTTTCTGTCCCGTCCCGTCCATTCCGTCCCATCCCAACCTATCCCAATCCTTCCCGTCCCGTCCCGTCTTGTACTCATTCCATCCCGTATACTTTCTTTCGCTGTTAACATTATCAATTATCGTGTAATACTAGATACATCAATAAGTACATATAGTATTGCATTAGTACCAATTCTGATTAGGAGCAAAACTCGCTAACATAAATTATTCAGGTTAAGGAATCAATGTAATGAAATCCTTGGACATCCGGCAGTTTATTTTGGAACAGTAACGACCTTCGAATCAACTGTAATGCACTTATTTAGATATAACGCGATTATGATAAAATCGAGTTGGACAAAATGATAAATACAATCTAGATTTGCCTTGAATATAAATGACCAGCAGGAAATTACTCCAGCAATTATTCGGCGATGCTGGCGATAAAAAAAAAGGTTTTCAACTGCCTGATACATTAGTATTCATTCACCATTCAGAGAACATGATAGTTTTCATATATTGGGGTGAGTAGAGTTTGATTTGTATATAATTTTGACACAAGACTATTGTAACTCCAGTAAATGTCTCAAAACTCAAACTTATATGCCATAAGAATTCCAGTGAAATTGTGTCCTCTGAATATCAATTTTCATCACAATTCTGTACTTTGTACTTCCTACCAAAAAACGGCTCGATCTCATTTTCTACATTTTCTCTCTTCCACTACCAAAACAGTTACATTTCTGTCCCTTGCAATCGGCTGAATTCTATGAAGTTTCTGCAAAGTTATTCAGTCGGCATTTATTTTACTGATTCACACAAAATCCACTTTACCATTCCCTGAATGTAATAACTTTTTTGTTTCAGTTTATATCGTATTAGCGCTTTCTTCTTCATTGGGGGCCAGAACCGGTATAAAACAGTTAACCCAAATTTTGTCCCCCAAGAAAAGCCTCGGAAACTGTAAGGCTGATACAGGAGCTACTTTGGCAGATATCGAATCACTCAAGGCCAAAACAATTCCAAAAACCAAAACTGGTCGCTGTTTCATGGAATGTTTATTCAACACCGCAAACATAATGAAAGATGGCAAATTTGACAAAAATGGAATGGTGATCGCTTTCACGCCTGCTCTGAAGGGGGATTTGACAAAGATGGGAAAGTTGAAAGAGCTGTCGGAAGTATGTGCAAAGGAAATCGGACCAAATAAACATAAGAACTGTGAGGGCGGACAGAAATTTGTGGAATGCCTTGCGAAACATGGCAATTCATATGGACTGGCATTTTCAACTCATGTCTATAGCAATTGAGTGGATTTTTTTAGTAATAGTTAGTCAACTTCACTATGATCATTTCTGGGATGTCAACTTTCGGAAACAATATATAGCGTGTTCGGTAAAACCGGTCAAGTTCCATTCATTTTCAAACAGACATAATTCAACTTTTTTAAATGGAACATTCTGTATTTTTTCATTTGTGAGAATTGATTCAACAATTCACTACATTTTTTGTGGAAGGTATACTATACGAAAAACTGATATTTTACAAATTATATCAAATTTTAGTAATTGTTGTAACCACAAAAAATGTATTTTCTTACGTTTACTTACTCAAATTTGTTTTTCGAATATTCAAACTAATCGCTAGCACGTTTGAAGGTGGTTGACAATGTTTCGTGCTACATTTCATTAGTTCGGGCCTACATTGTCTAATATGATATAAATTGATTTGAAATCCCTGAAAGAATCTGTGAAAAAATTAAAAAAGGTTAGCTGAAAAATAACAATTATATTAAGCAGGAAAAAAAGAAATTACAATGAAATAAAATACAAGCAACAACCAAAAAATACAAAAACTGAACTATTAACACGAGATGAAATTGAAAACTTATTAACAAGAAATGAAAAATTAAAAATAACCATCAAAATTTACCTTCAACGGAATGGTTACTTCAAAGTGATGTTAGAACAGGCTTTAGCTAGAAGACAGCAAGAGCTCCACAAGGAAGAGAAGCCATCACAACCAGTACTTGTACTTCCCTACATCAGAGGATTGTCGGAAAGGATAAAGGATTGGGTCCAAGTATAACATCAGAACCTACTTCAGATCCGAAAACACTATCCTTTTCAATGGTAAGAAATGCGTAAAAAATTTAAAGAATATGTATACTGCTTGTTTCTTTGAAAACCCAGTTATCCATGTCATCCATGTCAATAACGCCATGCGTTGAAGCTTCTTTCGCGTGTAGATTGAATCATTTTCATTATGAATTATGTTTAAAATATGTTTTTCTGTTAACCAGCTGTCGCACCTCTATGAACAACAACCCTTAGAAGCGAAACTTGTGCGAGCTAAGGACTAGGTAGGTAGGTAGGTAGGTAGGTCTAAACTGAGTGGGTCTATTCGACCCTCCATCGTAACCCATAAGGGTTTATTGTGGCTCACATCTATTCACACTCGGGCAAATAAACCCAGCTTCTTAACGAAGCCGATTAGTTTGTATGGTGAGAGTACATATCTGCCGAACTCAAAGAACCTGATTCGGTCCCCAGCGGGGCAGGCACAAAGTATATGCTCTGCAGTTTCATCATTTTCCAGACAGAGGCGACACACACTGTCTTCCGACAGTCCAAGTCTCTGTATGTGATGATTCAAATGACAGTGATCTGTAAGAATACTTGTTAGCTAAGGACTAACGAGGTCTTACCTTTTAACGTGTGATTCCTAACACGGGTTGCACGATAGCAAGTGAAAATCGATCGTTCAGCCTGCGGCTTGACCCACCGACCAACACGGCGGTAGATTTGAGTGAGTGATCCAAGCACCCAGTCGAACAGACCGGGTACCGACCGATTGTAAGATATGGTGCAAATGGTCTATGCTTTGGGAGAAAGTGACGGAAACTGCCTCTTCGCATCAAGGTTTTAGAAAGAGAAGTTCCCCGAAAAAAGACAACCAGTTGGAAGGGCATTTCAGGCTCTAAAAACAAGATTTGAAAGAACTGGTAATGTCAATCACGAGAAGTTCGAACGTGTCTGTCCTGTAACAAATGAAGTACATTTGAAATTGCTGTTCACCTTGTTGAAAATCTCCATGTGAGTACCCGAGACATGAGCAGGGAATTAGGATTTTTTCAAAACAACGTGTCTCGAATGATACGAGCAAGAAATTTCATTCTTACCACATGCGATTGTTTCAAGAGTTAAGAGGAAAAGATTTTGAAAGACGTGTTCAATTTTGCCGATGTGGCTCAGAAAAGAACAACCAGGAAAATTATTTTTTCCATTTTGTGTAATTTTCTGATGAAGCGACTTTTCATAAAAAAGGAACTGTGAATCGGCATAACATGCATTATTATGCAACGGAAAACCTCCATTTTGTTCGTTGCCTGAACCATCTAAACCGTTGGTCACTGAATGTTTGGTGTGGAATTCTCGGAAAAAGCGTTATCGGTCCGTATTTTTTGGAGGGGCATCTCACTGGAAGAAAATATGTGAGATTTCTTCGGCATGAGTTTTCGAATTTATTGGACGGCATTTCATATGGAACAAGACTTAGAAAGTGGCTACAACAAGATGGTGCACCAGCACATTTTAAAACTGAGGTACAGGAATACCTCAACGATCATTTCAATTAAAAATGGATATGACCTGACCAAAATGGGTCTTTTATGGGAGTATATCAAATGGATTGTCTACCAAACTCCTCCAACATCTGTAGAAGACGTAAAACGAAGATATATATGATTAGGATACTGAAATTCATTTAAACAAAATAAACTTCAGTTGAAGTTAGTTTTATTCACAGTTTCCATATATGTTTTTCATGAAAAACATATTCATGAAAGGTCAATTTATCATGTGTTGCGTGTTGTGTTTGCGAAGAAATTTTATTTAATATATGCGGATGGCATATTTACTCAGGAAATCAATATCTTGGAGAAGTATTCAAAGTAATGGTGGTACTTGTTGAGATAAACTCATTGAAAGTTCCATAAGAAACTTCGCAACGAAATATTTGAAAAACTCGAAGTATGTTCTGGTTGCTGAGTATTTGAATTTTGATGCTTATTTGAAAAATAACTTCAAATTTAGTATTAACATTACCTATTCTATATTGTCCACAGTGGAAAAACAGTATTAGGGATTATTATGATGATGAAATGTATGGAGATATTGGCATATGTCCTCAGGAGCGAACAAAAATAAGTAGAAATTGTAAAGCAACTTATTGATTACCATCACATGACTGATTAAAATATACAGATATAAGATACAATGCTAACAGATTAGGATTTATCATGATGTGTATCACAACCAAAAGTATATTTTCAACATAAACTCTACAAAATAATCTAATTATTATTTTTAATCCAAGTACCATTATTCCCCTTAAATTATTGATTATATGAGTGATTGAAATTTATTGCTTATTTTTCTCAACATCAATAGAGGATTAGGTCTATAAAAGGATTTAAATTCCAAAATATATATTAGTTCATAGAAGGAAATCAATATCATAATGTAGATTAGAGTACAAGTCGAAACATGCAATAATTTTTCCTACTGCGAATGGAAATACATACGGGAGATAACAGAGATGTACAGAAAAATTTACAAAGAGCTAAACACCCACACAAATGATTGCAAAATGATGAACAATGAAGCTGTCTAAAATTTCCAAATCACCCTCAATTATTGGCGATGAATGCGATTTAAAAAATACTGTACTCTCCTTGTTATTGCAAGTTTGTAGTTCTTATCAACAGGCATTGTTTTTTTTCTAATAATGGTTTTGATGATTTCACAGTTTCATTTTTTCTCTAATTCTTGGATTTATGTTTAAAAAAATAAGTTAAAATAAGTTAACCAACTCCCGCACTTCTACGAACGACAACCCTCAGAAGTCGAAACTTATGCGAGGTCTTACCTTTTTACGTGTGATTCCTAACACGTATCGATGTATCGATTATCTCAAAACTCCCGTTATTTGCGAACACATTTCATCGGTATAAGAATGATTTTGATGTATGAGAGCTTCATAAACATTATTCTTATCATTCTCGTAATAAAGTGTCTCATTAAAGCACAATCTTTCAGAGAAAATTGAGAATATCTCAGTTATGTCTAATTCAATCAGGTGAGCTATGCAGGTATGTGATACACTGAAGAGTGTACACATACCTGTGTACACATACCTGTGTAATACAACAATATTGCATTTTTGAAATGGAACAGGGACTTGAGATTCATTACTCCGCTGCCTGAGGAAATGCTAAATGGGATGAAAAAGCTGTTGAAATTTCATGATATTTTACTCATAAGCTTGCGAGCTATTGTGCTAAGAGTGACACTACTTTTGTTATTTTCAAAACAATGGATGAAAAACAATTTCGTGTTTTGATTTTACACCCTTCTCCATGCGAAAAAATACCGTTCAAGCAAAGTAATGGCTTGAAGAGTGTTATAAGGACTCCGCTCCATCAGAAACAACAATGGGGAATGTTCCTCCTGACGAAAATCAAGTAGTTTTCATAAAATAGCTCTAAAACAACACAGTTTAAACTTATCATTTCACCCTTTATCTTTAAAAAATTATTTTAGTACTTAAAAAATAGGAATGAAATGATGCATTCAACATTTAAAGGGATTCGTTTCTATTTCATCATTTGGCAACATCGGTTATAGCTAATAAAGGACAATTAATCTGTTACCTGTTTGAGACAAACAGAGATGACATATTTCAGAGGCGTGCTGTTCTGTTTACTTATATTCTAAGTTCAGAGAAATTCTGTGACGTATGACATTTTGTGCACCTAACCTATCTTCCTCTATATAAATAAATAACAAAACAACTGTTGTTTATGTGGCTTGTGGAGGTTGTATTGGACTATAATTTATATTTTGCCTCAATTGTTGATTTATAAAGATAATTTTCCTTTTTTAAAGTAGAATACCTATCTAGGTAGGTATAAATTATTTCAACTTGATATAGGCGCTGTTTCCAATATGTGAATTAGAAACAAACCCCTTTAAAAATCAAAACCCAACATTTGAAACATCAATTTGAATACTTTTCAAAGTGAATTTGAAAAACTCATGAATTGAACTCAACTTTATTTTGTTCAAACTTGTATTTGTTGTAATAACCCAAATTGAAGAACATTTCCCATTAAACGTTGCTTTGCTGTCTTCAAACGTGGTCGTAGAGAAACCGATGATGCAGAACGCAGTAGACGTCCAAATGTGGCAGTAACACCAGAAAATATAAAAAATCTCCGAAATCGTTTCGAATGATCGAAAACTGAAAA